TCTGTGAAATATCTTTAATACCCTACTCCTCCTACAGTTTTAGTCTGATTTCAATATAACTTGGCACACAAGTAGACTACACTAAGATACATAATTCTATTTATTGCCGCCTGTTGCAAAGTTTCAAATCCAAGTGCTACTTTTCCTTTGTTATACATACAGACCAGTAGAGCTACAGTCTTATCAAAGACTTCTGGTTGGATCTTATTAGACTTATTCATGTTATTATGTTCTTGTCATTAGTGGTGTAAGTCCAGTCTTTGCTAGAATTTTATCTGTAAGCCACAAACTCCAAAGTACCAGCTTTCAGAGTTAATAAAAGCTTGCTTGTTTCAATTATATCTCCTCACCTAGCTGCAGATCTGTAGCGCTATGGTTTAATATATTTGTCTTTGACCATAACGCTACAGATCCCGTAGTGCAAAAAAGGTGTAATTTACGGGGCAATATTTTTTGCGCTCTTTTCGGGAGAATTTCTCCACTTTCTAGCATTGGTCAGTCAACTTCCTTTCACACCCTAACTCTAGACACATTCTGTTGCCAATATGTATAGTTTATCCACCTCCCAACCATTTAAAGTTGTCTCTACAGGCAATAAACTCGCTTGAAGTGAATTTTCAGCAATCTAAAAAATAATTTTAATCAAGCGAGTTTATCACTTGTAGAGATGACTATAAAGGGTTGGGAGATGGATAAAATATACAGATTCGTTAAATAATATGCCTAGAGTTAGGGAGTTAAAGGAAGTTGATTGACCAATCCTAGAAAGTGGAGAAATTCTTCCCAAAAGAGCGCAAAAAATATTGCCCTGTAAATTGCACCTTTTTTGCACTACGTGATCTGTAGCATTATGGTCAAAGACAAATATATTTAAAACCATAACTCTACAGATCTGCAGCTACTCCTCACCTAAACATCTCTAGAAATAATCCTTGATTTTACTAAAATGAAATAAAAAAATCTTGGTCAAATGGCATTTTTCTGACCCAGTGCACCAAACTGATAATGGACAAGAATAGTTATAATAAATGATCGAAAATGGAACTATAGCTAATGTTAATCCCCCCCTCCCCCAAACAACAACATTCTCTTATTAATAATTTAACCTTTGGCAGAAAAATATGAATGTTTTAAAGACTACAAAGACAAGCTTCAGCATTTCATGTAAATTATTATATCATACTTACATTTTTTTAAAGTAAAAACAAATCCAGCTTAAGGTCACTTGGCCATTGATCAGACTTTTGGTTCATTGACTGTTTTAATGTTTCTCTTTGTGCCGTTGTCATAGTTGTACAAGAATTAAGCACTAGTTTATCTAATATCACAAAAAATCAATGATTATTTTTAGGTTTATCTCACAAGAGTTTTGGAAGCTAACATTTAAATAACCCCAGTGTCGGAGTCCCAGGTTCAAGTTTTTGGATTCGATTTCTTTCAATCATGTTCTTCTTAATCTCCCATGGATGATGCATCTAATATGTTTCATTGTACCTGAGTGAGGTTTCAAGGCATTGTTTCTTTTTTATATATATAGTGGGACAGATTCCCATTGGTACACACTGTAGTGGGTATTGTTTACATGTTATACCTGTTTTATTTACAGATTCCCGTGGGTACACACTGTAGTGGTAGTTGTCTCCCCTGAAGACATTCCCTGGGTGGAGGAACAATTAAAGAAGAACAACTTGACTCGAGTCAGGGTGGTAGCGGGGGCGAAGACACGACACAGATCTATTTATAACGGGGTCAAGGCCCTCAGAGACGGTGGGTATGTAATAAAACACTGAGGAAACACTTGTAAAAATATTTGAAAATGAACAAAGATGCTCGATTTTTTAGCTCTTCTGGTCAGAGACCAGAAGAGCTTATGCGATAGTAATGCGTCCGGCCGTCTGTCTGTCTGTCTGTCAGTCTGTCTGTAAACAATTTTTAAAAACGCTACTCCTCCTACAATTTTAGTCTGATTTCAATATTACTTGGCACACAAGTAGACTACACTAAGATACATAGAATAGTGCATCGGTTTTTGATTTCGATGAACGGTGTTGCCATGGTTACTAAAAATAGAATTATCTGTGAAATTCCTTTAAAACGCTACTCCTTCTACAATTTTGGTCTGATTTCAATATAACTTGGCACACAAGTAGACTACACTAAGATACATAGAATAGTGCATCGGCTTTTGATTTCGGTGAACGGTGTTGCCATGGTTACTAAAAATAGAATTCTCTGTGAAATTCCTTTAAAACGCTACTCCTTCTACAGTTTTGGTCTGATTTCAATATAACTTGGCACACAAGTAGACTACACTTAGATACATAGAATAGTGCATCGGTTTTTGATTTCGGTGAACAGTGTTGCCATGGTTACTAAAAATAGAATTCTCTGTGAAATTCCTTTAAAACGCTACTCCTTCCTCAATTTTGGTCTGATTTCAATATAACTTGGCACACAAGTAGACTACACTAACATACATAGAATAGTGCATCGGTTTTTGATTTCTATGAACGGTGTTGCCATGGTTACTAAAAATAGAATTCTCTGTGAAATTCCTTTAAAACGCTACTCCTTCTACAGTTTTGGTCTGATTTCAATATAACTTGGTACACAAGTAGACTACACTAAGATACATAGAATAGTGCATCGGTTTTTGATTTCGATGAACGGTGTTACCATAGTTACTAAAAATAGAATTTTCTGTGAAATTCCTTTAAAACGCTACTCCTTCTACAGTTTTAGTTTGATTTCAAAATAAGTTTGCACACAAATAGACTACACAAAGATACATAAAATAGTGCAATGGTTTTTGATAAGTACATACCAGTAGAGCTACGGTCTCGACAGAGACTTCTGGTTTTTTTTTATATAGTTTATTACATCTCAGGCAAGTTTCTCTGACTTAAGTTTATCTGAGCTGAAAGCTTAGATGAGCTTTAAACCACCCATTGTCCTTCATCCATCCATCATTCTGTAAACCTTTCACATTTTCAACCTCTTTTCAAGAACAACTAGGCCAATTTTAAATAAAAAAGGTACAAAGCATTCTAGGTCCAGGTGAGCTTAAATTGTTAAATGAAAGGCCAGCCCCCTTCCATGGGGAGATAATCAATAAAAGGAAAAAAAGGATGGGATCATTAAAATATCTTCTTCTCAAGAACCACAGGGTCAGAAAAGCTGAAACTTAAATGGAAGCATCTTGGTGTAGTGTAGATTCTAAATTGTTCAAATTATGACCCCCAGGGATTAGGATGGGGCAATAATAGGTATTACCGGTATATAGGAGGAAATCAGGTGAAAAACAACAGGGCCAAAGTTACTCAGGTGAGCATTACGGTCCATCATGGTCTCTTGTATATTTTTACCTCACCAGATTCAAAAGTTCAAATGAATTTTCTGATAAAAGTTTGTCCATAGCTTGCTGCAGAACTTGACTCTTTGCTGGAGAAAATTTGGACAGATAAAGCAGGATTTTACAATGCCATAGTCTGTAGCTCTCTCTCTGCTATATTACTGTATACAGGGTTATTTTTGCCCCGTGTTATTTTCGCCCTTTTGTACTTGCGAACAATTTTGCCCAGTTTTAAATTCGCCCAGTCATAGTTCTGTTTAAGAAATTATGCTGTGCAATTTGAATTCACCCCGTTTAAATTCGCCCACTCAAGAAGAGGGCAAAAGGGGCGAAAATAAAACGGGGGCGAATTTTCCCTGTATACAGTATTCCAAATTTTCTCCAGGAGAGATCTCCAGTTCTGCAACAAGATTTTTGTCCTCATTCCTGAGATTTTAAAATTATTGTTGATTTTAGCGTATACAGGGGATGTTGTAGTCCTGATTCATGACATTGTATGTTGATTTCAGTGTTTATGTTGTAGTCCTGATTCATGACATTGTATGTTGATTTCAGTGTTTATGTTGTAGTCCTGATTCATGACATTGTATGTGTTGTTGATTTCAGTGTATACAGGGGATGTTGTAGTCCTGATTCATGACATTGTATGTTGATTTCAGTGTATACAGGGGATGTTGTGGTCCTGATTCATGACATTGTATGTTGATATCAGTGTATACAGGGGATGTTGTAGTCCTGATTCATGACATTGTATGTTGATATCAGTGTATACAGGGGATGTTGTAGTCCTGATTCATGACATTGTATGTTGATTTCAGTGTATACAGGGGATGTTGTAGTCCTGATTCATGACATTGTATGTTGATATCAGTGTATACAAGGATGTTGTAGTCCTGATTCATGACATTGTATGTGATGTTGATTTCAGTGTATACAGGGGATGTTGTAGTCCTGATTCATGACATTGTATGTTGATATCAGTGTATACAGGGGATGATGTAGTCCTAATCCATGACATTGTATGTTGATTTCAGTGTATACAGGGGATGTTGTAGTCCTGATTCATGACATTGTATGTGTTGTTGATATCAGTGTATACAGGGGATGTTGTAGTCCTGATTCATGACATTGTATGTTGATATCAGTGTATACAGGGGATGTTGTAGTCTTGATTCATGACATTGTATGTGATGTTGATTTCAGTGTATACAGGGGATGTTGTAGTCCTGATTAATGACATTGTATGTTGGTTTCAGTGTGTACAGGGGATGTTGTAGTCCTGATTCATGACATTGTATGTTGATTTCAGTGTGTACAGGGGATGTTGTAGTCCTGATTCATGACATTGTATGTTGATTTCAGTGTATACAGGGGATGCTGTAGTCCTGATTCATGACATTGTATGTTGATTTCAGTGTATACAGGGGATGCTGTAGTCCTTATTCATGACATTGTATGTTGATTTCAGTGTATACAGGGGATGTTGTAGTCCTGATTGTTGACATTGTAGTCCTGATTCATGACATTGTATGTTGATTTCAGTGTATACAGGGGATGTTGTAGTCCTGATTCTTGACATTGTATGTTGATTTCAGTGTATACAGGGGATGCTGTAGTCCTGATTCATGACATTGTATGTTGATTTCAGTGTATACAGAGGATGTTGTAGTCGTGATTGATGACATTGTATGTTGATTTCAGTGTATACAGGGGATGATGTAGTCCTGATTCATAACATTGTATGTTGATTTCAGTGTATACAGGGGATGATGTAGTCCTGATTCATAACATTGTATGTTGATTTCAGTGTATACAGGGGATGCTGTAGTCCTGATTGTTGACATTGTAGTCCTGATTCATGACATTGTATGTTGATTTCAGTGTATACAGGGGATGTTGTAGTCCTGATTCATGACATTGTATGTTGATTTCAGTGTGTACAGGGGATGCTGTAGTCCTGATTGATGACATTGTATGTGTTGTTGATTTCAGTGTATACAGAGGATGTTGTAGTCCTGATTCTTGACATTGTATGTTGATTTCAGTGTATACAGGGGATGTTGTAGTCCTGATTCATGACATTGTATGTTGATTTCAGTGTGTACAGGGGATGCTGTAGTCCTGATTGATGACATTGTATGTGTTGTTGATTTCAGTGTATACAGGGGATGTTGTAGTCCTGATTCATGTCATTGTATGTTGATTTCAGTGTATACAGGGGATGTTGTAGTCCTGATTCATGACATTGTATGTTGATTTCAGTGTATACAGGGGATGTTGTAGTCCTGATTCATGACATTGTAAGTTGATATCAGTGTATACAGGGGATGTTGTAGTCCTGATTCATGACATTGTATGTTGGTTTCAGTGTATACAGGGGATGTTGTAGTCCTGATTCATGACATTGTATGTTAATTTCAGTGTGTACAGGGGATGTTGTAGTCCTGATTCATGACATTGTATGTTGATATCAGTGTATACAGGGGATGTTGTAGTCCTGATTCATGACATTGTATGTGATGTTGATTTCAGTGTATACAGGGGATGTTGTAGTCCTGATTCATGACATTGTATGTGTTATTGATTTCAGTGTATACAGGGGATGTTGTAGTCCTGATTCTTGACATTGTATGTTGATTTCAGTGTATACAGGGGATGATGTAGTCCTGATTCATAACATTGTATGTTGATTTCAGTGTATACAGGGGATGCTGTAGTCCTTATTCATGACATTGTATGTTGATTTCAGTGTATACAGGGGATGTTGTAGTCCTGATTCTTGACATTGTATGTTGATTTCAGTATATACAGGGGATGTTGTAGTCCTGATTGTTGACATTGTAGTCCTGATTGATGACATTGTATGTTGATTTCAGTGTATACAGGGGATGTTGTAGTCCTGATTCATGACATTGTATGTGTTGTTGATTTCAGTGTATACAGGGGATGTTGTAGTCCTGATTCTTGACATTGTATGTTGATTTCAGTGTATACAGGGGATGCTGTAGTCCTGATTCATGACATTGTATGTTGATTTCAGTGTATACAGAGGATGTTGTAGTCGTGATTGATGACATTGTATGTTGATTTCAGTGTATACAGGGGATGATGTAGTCCTGATTCATAACATTGTATGTTGATTTCAGTGTATACAGGGGATGCTGTAGTCCTGATTGTTGACATTGTAGTCCTGATTCATGACATTGTATGTTGATTTCAGTGTATACAGGGGATGTTGTAGTCCTGATTCATGACATTGTATGTTGATTTCAGTGTATACAGGGGATGTTGTAGTCCTGATTCATGACATTGTATGTTGATTTCAGTGTATACAGGGGATGTTACAGTCCTAATTCATGACATTGTATGTTGATTTCAGTGTATACAGGGGATGTTGTAGTCCTGATTCATGACATTGTATGTGTTGTTGATTTCAGTGTATACAGGGGATGTTGTAGTCCTGATCCATGACATTGTATGTTGATTTCAGTGTATACAGGGGATGTTGTAGTCCTGATTCATGACATTGTATGTTGATTTCAATGTATACAGGGGATGTTGTAGTCCTGATTCATGACATTGTATGTTGATTTCAGTGTATACAGGGGATGTTGTAGTCCTGATTCTTGACATTGTATGTGTTGTTGATTTCAGTGTATACAGGGGATGTTGTAGTCCTGATCCATGACATTGTATGTTGATATCAGTGTATACAGGGGATGTTGTAGTCCTGATTCATGACATTGTATGTTGATTTCAGTGTATACAGGGGATGATGTAGTCCTGATTCATAACATTGTATGTTGATTTCAGTGTATACAGGGGATGTTGTACTCCTGATTCATGACATTGTATGTTGATTTCAGTGTATACAGGGGATGTTGTAGTCCTGATTCATGACATTGTATGTGTTGTTGATTTCAGTGTATACAGGGGATGTTGTAGTCCTGATCCATGACATTGTATGTTGATTTCAGTGTATACAGGGGATGTTGTAGTCCTGATTCATGACATTGTATGTTGATTTCAGTGTATACAGGGGATGTTGTAGTCCTAATTCATGACATTGTATGTTGATTTCAGTGTATACAGGGGATGTTGTAGTCCTGATTCTTGACATTGTATGTTGATTTCAGTGTATACAGGGGATGCTGTAGTCCTGATTCATGACATTGTATGTTGATTTCAATGTATACAGGGGATGTTGTAGTCCTGATTCATGACATTGTATGTTGATTTCAGTGTATACAGGGGATGTTGTAGTCCTGATTCTTGACATTGTATGTTGATTTCAGTGTATACAGGGGATGCTGTAGTCCTGATTCATGACACTGTATGTTGATTTCAATGTATACAGGGGATGTTGTAGTCCTGATTCATGACATTGTATGTTGATTTCAGTGTATACAGGGGATGTTGTAGTCCTGATTCATAACATTGTATGTTGATTTCAGTGTATACAGAGGATGTTGTTGTCCTGATTCATGACATTGTAAGTTGATATCAGTGTATACAGGGGATGTTGTAGTCCTGATTCATGACATTGTAAGTTGATTTCAGTGTATACAGGGGATGTTGTAGTCCTAATTCATGACATTGTATGTTGATATCAGTGTATACAGGGGATGTTGTAATCCTGATTCATGACATTGTAAGTTGATTTCAGTGTATACAGGGGATGTTGTAGTCCTGATTCATGACATTGTATGTTGATTTCAGTGCATACAGGGGATGTTGCAGTCCTAATTCATGACATTGTATGTTGATATCAGTGTATACAGGGGATGTTGCATTCCTGATTCATGACATTGTATGTTGATTTCAGTGTATACATGGGATGTTGTAGCCATGACTCATGACATTGTATGTTGATTTCAGTGTATACAGGGGATGTTGTAGTCCTGATTCATTACATTGAATGTTAATTTCAGTGCATACAGGGGATGTTGCAGTCCTAATTCATGACATTGTATGTTGATTTCAGTGTATACAGGGGATGTTGTAGTCCTAATTCATGACATTGTATGTTGATTTCAGTGTATACATGGGATATTGTAGCCATGACTCATGACATTGTATGTTGATTTCAGTGTATACAGGGGATGTTACAGTCCTAATTCATGACATTGTATGTTGATTTCAGTGTATACAGGGGATGTTGTAGTCCTAATTCATGACATTGTATGTTGATTTCAGTGTATACAGGGGATGTTGTAGTCCTGATTCATGACATTGAATGTTAATTTCAGTGTATACAGGAGATGCTGTAGTCCTGATTCATGACATTGTACGAGTCCTAGCAGAGGAGTCGGTCATAAAGGATGTGGCTTTTGCAGCCAAACAGCATGGTGTTAGTCTAAGTATTGTACTGTGGAGTTTAACAATATTTATTTAATGATTTCAATCAAATCTTTAAGTTTAAATAGAACTGATGCTTGTTCTCTTACAGAATTTCTACCTAATGCAATATAATCAGACTAAACGTAAATGATGTAAGTGTTTGAATGAATTAGATTATATATATTAAAAAAGAGATTAAAGAAATAGTCAGCAATTTTGTTTTGTTAAATGAGTTAAAAAAGACAAATTGAACAACATCAGTAATTTTGTAAATGCTTTGTTTTTCCTACAGGCCGCTGGTATTACCCGACCTTTGACCTCTACAGTGATAGCGAGGGACAGTGAGGGATTTCTGTCAGAATCTCTAGACAGAACTAAATACCTGGCCAGTGAGATGCCCCAGGGATTCCAATTTAATATCATCAACACCGCTTATGAAAAGGTGATGTATAACTCTTTTCAACAAAATTCAATCTCACCTTTTATGGCTGATTTTATGCAAACACTTACCTTATTGATAACATTTTAAAAAGTTACGAGATTACTGTGTTTTGTTTTTATTATATGCCCGAATTTATTTGGGGCGCATATTGTTTTTATCCTGTCTGTCTGTTTGTCTGTTTGTCTGTTTATCTGTCTGTTGTCAACTTTAACCTTCGCCATAACTTTTGAACCGTGAGAGATAGGGACTTCATATTTGGTATGCATACTCCACTAATTAAGCACTTTCAACTGACACCAAGGTTTATGACCTTGTGACCTTGACTGTGACCTTTATGCTAAAAATAGCTTTTTCAAACTTATGCCAGAACTTTTGAACCCTGGGAGATAGAGACTTCCTATTTGGTATGCATACTCCACTAATAAAGTACTTTCTACTGACACCAAGGAGGTAGAGACTCTGTATATGGTATGCGAACTCCACTAGTTAAGTGCTTTCAAACAACACCAAGGACAATGATCATGTGACCTTGACTGTGACCTATTTGCTAAAAATAGCTTTTTATATGCCCGTCTTAAGACGGGACGTATTATGTTATAGGCTTCATGTCCGTCCGTCCGTCCGTCTGTCCGTCTGTCCATTCGTGTCCGGCTCATAACTTCAATACTATTAGGCCTAGGATTATCAAACTTTGTCAACTGATACTTCTTGGGTAGACGGTGTGTCGCGCACAAAAAGTAGGTCGCTCTGACCTTTAATAAAGATGCTATGGCCAAATATGGAAAAATCCTGTCCGGCTCATAACTAGAAAACTATTAGACCTAGAGCTATCAAACTTGGCAAAAGTATACATCTTAGGTAGAAGGTGTGTCGCGACCTATTTCAAGGTCACTGTGACCTTTAATTTTAGTGAAATTTTTTTAAAAACTAAGTTTTTTAAATTTTAAATTTCATAATCCTAAAAATGTAAAAAAATAGAGTTGTATCCTTATTATAAAGTATTAAATCAAGTAAAAACTAATTTTTTTCATCATATACTTTACAGCAATCTTAAACAAATTTCAATGTTAATGAGAGGAATTCAGTTTGTCCCATGGGCATAATTATCAAGCACTGGTCAAGAAGAATTTTGATAGCAGAAAGTTGCATGTCAAATTAGAGAGAAATTAATGAGTTTAGTGTGAGGAGGTAACTTGTAGAGCATTGGTGTTATCTATTTCCCTTGAGTATTGGGCAAATGGACAGCCAGCCTAGCTGTTAGATTAAAAATAGCTCTTGTTGGCTAGCCTAAGTTTTAAATGAATTTGATGAAAAGTAATTAAAACTAATTTGATACTGCATAATAAACTAATAATCTGATATTATATAATATTAATTAATTAAAAACTAATTTATGGGGTGGGGTTGAATCAGCATGCCTACTTGTCCATATGAATTAAATATAAAACCTGTCTGGCATTAAATCTAAAAAGAAATCATGGAGTTTTTTATATGTTTTAAAAGTGTTTTAGGATAAAAAGTGCAGATCCATTAATATTTAGGGAGTAATGAGTAGACAAGCATCCAGTCAAAGATTAATTAATGAGTTCAATGTAGGAAGGCTATCTGATCAAGCGCTGCCTGATCTGTATCCTTTGGGGATTAGACAGAAGAACTTCTGGTCAGTTTATAGCATATGTCATTTGATGGCCAGCCTTTCTTTTCAACATTAATTTGGCATAGATTAAGTTGTTAAGACTAATTTGATATTGTTTATTATGATGGCTGGCATTTGACAAAATCTAACACAAACAGTATAGAAATCTATCAGTTATGTAATATTTGTTATAATTATGCCTACAGCACAGGGGATGGATAAAGAAATATTTTTTTTTTAAAAATGGAAAAATCATGGAAATCTTAGAATCAAGGTTGACATGATTTTCTTGCACTCTAAACTGTTAAAGATATTTGTGTAATTTTTTGACGGGCGTATCATGCTGTGGCGTGGCACTTTATTTACTTTGTTATATAATTAAAAAAAAACACATACAGAAATAATTTGTTCGTAAGATTGAATGATAAAAATGCTTTAATTCTTAACAGTAAAAATTTTCTGTAAACATGTTTTTCTTACAAAAAGAAATGGAAAATAGAATGAAATTCAAGCCAAATAGTTTAGCATTAATATATATTGAAAATAGTTTTATGACTTTATTTTGTGTCTCACTTGGCCTCCAAATACACAGATGAATTTTATTAAATTTTTCAGTCATCAGCCTTTATTAATGAAGAGTCAGTGGAGGGACCAGATCTCTTTGTAAGGATTTATTACAGAGTCAGTGGAGGGACCAGTGGTGTGTATACCAGGCAGTCTGTGGAAGGTAATTTACACAAATGTCACCAGACCTGTGGAAGGTAATTTATTACAGAGTCAGTGGAGGGACCAGACAGTCTGTGGAAGGTAATTTATTACAGAATAGTACAAAAATTTATACACTAACACAGTAGCAGGTAAGTTATTACAGAGTCAGACTTGTGGAGGGACCAGACAGTCTGTGGAAGGTAATTTATTGCAGAATCAGCTTAGATGAGGCCATCTTAAAAAATATGTTTGCTTGCCCTCTTCTGACCCCGGACATGGGACAGTATTGGGTTGGTAGGTAGGAAAAAGATTATTCAAAAACACTTGTGAATAGGATGTTAAAATAATTCAAAATATGCTAATGTGATCAAAAATTTCAGAAATATATATTAAAAAAAAATGTTTTCTGGAACTTTGAGTTGAGTATTTTAGTCAGTTGGTTTGGAGAGGGCAACCAAACAGAGGGACATTTTTATTAATTTGCATAAATAATTATATATAGGTGATACAAAATTAGAATAATCATTACTCATGACCTATGGATCAATTGATATACATATATAGCTGTATTTTTTTTTATCTCTACTTATGTTTTTTTTGCCAAAATAATATTTTAACACATGGTTATTCCCCTTGTTTTATTACTTACAGGTAACATACAGAAAAGATTTATTTGCAGCAGAGGGGATATTAAGAGGTACTTCACAGATTGCAGAACATTATAAATAAATTTACTGAGTGAAATATCAATTTCAGTAAGCTTTTCCTGCTTAGTTAGAGTGATTTATTTGATTTACCCTTGCAGAAAATCTATCATCCATTTTCATTGAGGAGGGATTCACAAATGAAAGAGAGAATATCATGAGTTTCATCACAGAAGGAAATCTAAAGGTGAATTGGTAGTTATCTCCCTTTTTATAAACAGTGGTATTAATGAGTCAAGATTTAAACCTTCATCAGGATGTAAATATTGGTTGGTCATGTGATCAAATCCAATAAAGCCATGAGGGTTTTATGATAGATTTTGATCACGTGACAACACATATTTACATCCTGATTAAAGGATTAAATCTTGCAAATGTTAATATAAGTACATGTACTTTCTTTATGATTTTATGTAAACAATAAATAAATGCGTAATAATTATGTTAATTCTTATTTTTGTTCATTTATTATGTGCCTTTGACCTAAAATTGACATGTTGTTTTCAGTTTTATTTTATGTACATCTATTTTCTGTTTTACAGGTGTCCTCAGAAAAATCTCCAAGCTGCTCTGATTCTGGGTTTGTCTTTTTTGTGTCACCTCAGAGATTGGAATCAGACATAGCATCCAAGATTGATAACATCTCAGTAACAATGACCAAAATTACGTCACATCAGCATGAAAATTACTCTGAATGTAATAACTCAAGACCTAAATTTACAAAGAAAGAAGATTGTGATTCTGACATTGTGGTCTGTTCCAAGTGTTCATTTCTAGACAATAAAACAGTTGTACTGTTAAAATTATATAGTAGTGTTATTGAATACATGAGAATATTATTGGGGCGGGGGACTGCGTGTTTATGTCTGTGGTGATTTATCATGAAGATTAAGAGAGGGAATACTGTGTCGCTTCTTAAGAACCAAGATCAGGGAATGAATGGACAGGTTCTGTATGTGACATGAAAAATCTCTTTGGTGCAGTTTAAAAGTGCCAATAAATTGATCATTTTAAAAACTCTTTTGCTTTCTAATTTTTAAGTTAATTTATAGTGAACATTTAATATTGAATAAAAAGTAATTAAGGAATAACTGTCTTATTTTTTTTATTTCATGATGTGTTCAATCTATCGCCGAAGGCGTTTATGCATAAAATTATCACACAAGCCAATCGATTGATCATCGTCATGAAATTGAAAAATCTGACAGTTATTCCTTATATTTACATGCTTTGATTCTGCCAATCCACGTGCTCCAAGCCCTGCTTCTGTCTAGCTGTTTGTCCCACCTGCACGTTTTTACTTCCACAGTAGCAACAGTGCTAACCTCAGCTGTCCGTCTGTCTGTCCGTTTGTAAACTTTTCACATTTTCGACTTCTTCTCACGAACTACTGGGTCAATTTTGACCAAACTTGGTACAAAGCATTCTTGGGTAAAGGGGAATTTAAATTCATTTGTTAAAATAAAGGGCCAAGTCCCCTCACAAGGGGAGATAATCAAGAAAACACAAAATTAGGGTGGGTCATTAAAAAATCTTCTTCTCAAGAACCACTGGGCCAGAAAAGCTGAAACTTCCTCAGGAAGCATCCTTATATGTGTGGATTCTAAATTGTGCTTGACCCCCCGGGGGAAGGGCGGGGCCACAATTCAAAGTTTACATAGAAATATATAGGAAATATCTTTGAAAACTCAAGAAACTGGGACAGAAAAGCTGTATTTATTTAGCTATCTAAATTGTTCAAATCATGACCCCCAGGGGAAGGGCGGGGCCACAATTGGGAATCAAATTTTACATAGAAAATTTAGGAAAAAATCGTGAAAATCTTTTTCAAGAACCACTGGGCCAGAAAAGCTGAAACTTGTGTGGAAGCCATTATTGTTCAAATCATCCCGGGGGAAGGTGAATAGGGAATCAAAGTTTTACATAGAAATATATAGGAAAAATCTTTGAAAATCTTCATTTCAAAACACTGGGCCTAAAAGCTGAAACATATATAGCATCCTGGGGTAGTGTAGATTCTAAATTGTTTAAATCATGACCCCCGCAAACCAATTAATCAAAGTTTTACATAGAAATATAGGAAAAATCTATGAAAACTGAAACTGGCCAGAAAAGCTGTTTTTTAAAATATATTTGAAAAATTTTTGAAAATCTTGTTCACATATATAACCACTGGGCCATTAAACGAAACTTGTGGAAGCATTGCATGATTTTGTTCAAATCATATATAATGCAAAGTTTTACATAGAAATATATTGGAAAAATGTTTATATACTGGGCCAAAGCTGAAACTTGTGTGGAAGCATCCTTGGGTAGTGTAAATTCTAAATTGTTCAAATCATGACCCCCAGGGGAAGGGTGGGGCTACAATGGGGAATCAAAGTTTTACATAGAAATATATATAGGAAAAATTTGAAAATCATTATTAAAAGTTGTGCACAAAACGTTTAATGTCAAAATGTTTAAAATATGATATGGGGCAGGGTGTAATTTTAAAGGAGGAAATTTAATAAAAACACAACAAATAGGTGAGCGATGTGGCCCATGGGCCCCTTGCTTTTTTTTTTTCAATATATTGATGGTGAAATAAAGTGCATTTACAATTTGTAATTTTATCTCGGGCAAAGACATTGGAAATGTAAATATTTATTTCTGAAAGTAAAAAAAAAAAATTAGTGGAGTCATTTTAGTCAGTTGGTGGGATAGGGCAAACATTTTTTTTAAAGAGGGCCTTCATATTTTCTCATACAAAAAATCAGCAAAATATCTGCATGTGTTTTGAATAGATTGCAGAAAACTAACTGGAAGAGATAGACAAGAAAAAAAATATCATAATATGAATATAATAGTTCAAAAGTAAATTTTGCATAAAATAATTACTAAAATAAGCCAATTCAAATGACAATTACAAGTAGATCTTCACATACCCTCTACTTTAACGGAATCTCCATAGCTGTGATTTGTAAATTTTTCACATTTTCAACTTCTTATCAACAAAATTATCACACCTGGCCAACTTTAATCAAATTTATCATATAGCATAGGAAAGTTTAATTGAAGGGACAAACCAATTTGAAAATTTTTTAAAAATTGGGTTTATTAAAAAAAAATATATAAAAAATGTTGTGTTTTATTGAAAGCTTCCTTGGGTTGTTAATATTTTTTTGGGGCCACAGAAATCTAATATTTACATATATGCCCTGTTAACAAGGAGAATTTAATTTGCAGGAAATTAATGAGAAAATAAATAATTCGAATCAAATTAATGCGAATGAAATTGCGTTTACATGACAACTAATGTGAAATAAACGAATGCAAATTAAAATTTTACTTCTGCAGCCCGGCGTCAGCACACCTATTACGACGTCATTTGCAAATCAGGTCACCTTTTGCAGAAGCAGATCCATTTGACATATAATATTAATGGCAAAGTGTCTGTATGGCAAGCGCGTTTTAATGATTAACAAAATTTTCCTTAGTTTTTCACTCAAAAATAGTACCTATAGCTGACCACCAACATGACGCATTTGACTAATTTTTGCCACTACGCATGTGTCAGAATTTAATTCAAACTAGATGCTGTCATGAGACAGTAATACCCGCACTAAGGTGTTTGCCTCTAAATACACGCTCCTACATATTAAGCGGCTTTCCAAAGAAATAGTCAAAATAATTCTATAATTTACATGTATTCATCAAATTGAGTATGAAATTCTCAGACCCTGTGACCTATAACTCAGAACCTCTTATATTTATTTTATACATGTTTAATTCATTATATACCAGTCTGAATTTTATTAATGATGTAAATTGATGCACGGATCTGTCGGGGGGGGGGGGGGGGGGTCAGGACCCCCCCCCCCCCCCCCGGGCCCCCTGGAATTTACAAGGTTAAAAAATGTATATACTAAAACAAGGGAAAAGTTACAATGGACCCCCTTGGAAAATGCAGATCCCCCCCCTGGTAAACACGAATATGTGTAAAATAAGTATGAAAAGTTAAACATTTGCGGCAATAGAAGTCACCACTACTCCCACCCCCCACAATATAGGTTTTTGACGTTTGGGTGAGATTTACTTTAGGGTTTTTTTTTTTTTTGATTGTCAATTTCTGGGATAGGATTTTTTTTTGACTGAGGTGGACCCCCCCCCCCCGGAAAAAATTTCTGGATCCGCGTCTGAAATTAGATTTTGATATATGTTTTGCTCATAATAGGACCTTTTTAAATTTACTAACCCCCCCCTTCGACACCACAATCACACAGCACATACTTTTTGGAATACGCTAGATGGAAAAGGTTTGTTAAAATTTAATATCGTTTGTTATGAATTAATTTAAAATTTGTTCTTGTACTGTACATGTGAACATGTAAATTTCTACATCACATCACGTTGCGTCACCCATTATCATATTTATAGATTAAACACCATTTGGCACACCTCGGCCGATTCCCACTTCATCTGATAAGGTGATGGAATCGACGAAGGTTCGCCAAAATGGCACATGGCTGAGTCTGGTGTGCATTGGATTAATTCATTTTGAGTTATAATTGGATTTATATTTCATGAAGTTGAGACACAGGGAGTCGGTAAGTAGAAGTGTATAGTGGGGGGTAAAATACACCCAAACTATTAGGTTAAAGTTTAAAAAGGGTGAAAGATCATCGCATGCCACACTAGACGAATTTCATATTGTGAAGTTATCTCCCGTTGTCGATGTGACATTCAGTTACTGCCAATACTGGTGCGGATCCAGAATTTTTTTCGGGAGTAGGGAGGGGGGTTCACATCTCAGTCAAAAAATTCCAGCCCAGAATTTCGTGACAAGCAGGAGAAAAAAAATGAAAACAAATAAACAAATAAAAAAACAATGATAGTGAGGTCAATGTTTTCTAAGTTTATAGGGAGAGGATGTCAAGAGTCATTTTTTACTTGCTACAGTATATAGTCTTGTTTAAATAACAAAGCAAATGCCAGATGGGGGGGGGGGATGGGGGGATTCCAATCTTCCTACCCACTTCCTGTCCCTGAAATAACAATGTATTTTGTTATTCCAGTTAAACAGTATATTTTTTTTCCATTTGACTAATTATTATACATATTTTGTTTCTTGTGTTTATAGTATGTCTGTCTATAAGTCTGCAGAAATTAAATCCTAGCTAGCTTGCCCATAAGTTTTAAGTGGGATGGGCTATACAAATAGCTTCCACATTTCATAGGTTTATTTCTTGTGACAATTTAATAAGACCTTTGATTTGGGTACCATTAATTTTTACCTCTGATCGCTTGACATGGGATACACATTTTTACAAGAAAAATACCAAACTTTAAACTCTGCCTAAATTTTGATCAGTAGGTGCTAGGGCTTTCATACTTATCATGACATATTGTATTCATTGTGAACTGTCAACAGGTATAAATATGTTTGACCTTGACCCTAGAGTTTGAACCACTTAAACAAAAAAATTAACCTTGGCAAATAACTTTTGAACAGGAATTACTAGGGATTTCTTTATTTCACATGTGCATTCCTTGTGACAAGACTTTCTTCTGATACTAACAATTTGAACCCTTTGACCTTGACCTTTGATTTTGATATATATATTTGAGAAACTTCAACCTTCGCCATAGGCTTCCATACTGGGACATCAGTGTTTCACAAACACATCTTATCTTCATTATTATTTGGTGGTGTCTCCATATGAGGGAAGATGTATTCACAACAAACAAACAAATCACAAAAGAAAATATAAAACATGAATATGTTGGTCATGCATATCTCTGCAGGAAAAAAAAACAGCTTTTCAAATGCTCCAACCATATTGTAACCCTTTCAAAACACTCATTTGAGCTTTTTTGGTTTCCTTAGCATATAATGTCTGTCGTGATGTGTTGTCCATCTGTTTTTCTGAAAACTTTTTACATTTTTAACTTCTCTAGAACCACTGGGCCAATTTTACCCAAT